TTCGTTATGAATTCACCAGAGTGACTTTTGAGAAAATGAGCCGATGAGCGAACAATTGTTTTCGGATATTCCTAGTCAGGTTCTTACATATCATATAATGGATAAATGTTTACTTACTGATGATCATTGGCTCAATTGACGGTCATCAATCGGAGACAGAGAGTAGAGGATGTGTGTTGGCGTGCGTCTGTGTATGCCTGCGTGTATGTGTAAGAATGTTTAGTGTGTCAGTTGATGTGACCTTTCTCCACTTGGGTCAAGTGACATGTCATGTTCTGTTTTGGTTTTCACACCCGGCCAAGACAATTGGAGCGCTTGAACCAGTCTCTTTTGGGCACACAGGTTGGGGCCTAGTAAGCGAATGGCGATCGCCTCGGCCATAGCTAGTGTCCAAATTAAGGCCGCCCTCGATCGATTGATTAGGATGCGAGAAACGACATCAAAAGCTTTCTCCGGTTCGATCTTGTGCCCGGTGTCGACGAGATGACCCACAATCGCGCTTGAGATACAGTCGGTTTTTCCCTGACTTAACCATCGCGGGTGGTGCTCCTTAACGCGTTGAGAAAAACGCCTTGTCATACGACAGATGTAACATGCGCCACAGACGCACTTAAAAGAGTAAATTATCATGGATGAGGTCTGTTTCGACAGTTTGTCTTTCACTTGCGTTCGCATCACCGGTGATGCAGAACAATGGTCTAAGTTTGGTTGCGAGGAAAGTGGAATTTACAGCCGCTCTCAATGACTGTAATAGGCTTTTTGTGTGTGAGTCCCCCTTAAATGGGATGCTTGCGAATAGTTCTTTCTTGGTGACACAGATCGAGTTTTCCTTCTCCGGAGTGAGCCGAATATTCTTATCGATGAACTTTTCCAGATAACCTGCAGTGTCTGACAGATGAAGCGTAGTTCTTCATCCAGTGTGTCTGATGAAAATCTTCCGGGCTCTGAAGGCTAGACACCGGACTAGATTACGTTTTTATTTCACTGGGACGAAACTATTAATTCGAAACCCAAATAGAACTATCCAAAAAAGAGTATACAGGGGACCTACATGGACAGGACAATATGTGAATTTCAATGGCTTTGTGCGATTGAAACAAAAGAGAAATTTTGTGGCATGCCTTGTCATGAGGGCACGGAAAATTTGCTCTTCCAATGCCGTAGCCGAAGAAACTGAACGCATCAAAAACTTCCTTCCTAGTTTATTGGCGTGCACACGGTCAACTACAAAGCACTCTACTTGCAACTATCATTCAAAGGGGGCTTACACAACAGATCAATCAAGCGTTGCGTCAAACGTTTACAACAGCCGAACTGCGCATGAATTTCACTACGACCTCAGCAATATGGTTCCACCTCAAAGATAAACTGCTCATCAGTAGTATATATCTACTGTCACATTCGGGCTTCAAACTCCGGACAAATCGCATGCTATGTGTTTGTGTTACTACCGCGTGCACGCCAATAAACTAGCGGAGTTAATGGTAGGATGATCTTCCATGAATGTGTTGTTGAAAAATGAGCTTTCCGTTCGCACTCTGATCAACCTCTGCTCAGACTATCGGACGTTTACATTACACTTCAGAGGTCCACAAGTGGACCACCTCTCTGGTAGATATCCAGGCAAATCAAGCTAGTTTCAGTCTACACCCGTAGTTAGGTCAAGACGTTTTATCAAAGCAGTTCTGCTCAAAGGGGTGCAGCAGTGACAAAGCCCTGGGTTGTAGTTTTCTCTATGAAACAATTAGACCAAAATTATTGGTCATGATTTTTTTCTACAGATTAAAGCGAATTGAAAACAAAGTCCGGTAGGCGAAACAAGCCATATCCATGTGCCTTTACGCGTTCACTTGCTCCTGTGGAGTGAGTTACATCGGTCGAACTATGGGGCAGCTACCGAAGTGGATACGAGAACACCACCCCCGCTGGTTGAAACGCGGTGAAACTAGGGCGGCGAAAAGTGCTATCTGTCAACATATACTGGAGACACGGCATACTAACAGTGTTGATCAGGCTTTCCGCACCAGTTACCACAAGTCATCATCTCTGCCGAAGCGCCTTCGGTTTATCATTCTATGCACAGTCGAGGCGATAGCTATCCAAACATTGGATCCTCCCCTGTGCAACCAAAAGCAGTTCGTTCGAGCCTTGCCGTGGCCTCGGATGAAGAAATCCACTCCACCCCCGAGGGGCGCACCAATGAACTAACGGAGATGAATATCAGGTAAACAATCTTAGCACACATTCTGCACTTAGTCTGATGAGATGAAAACCAGATCGACGAACTCAAATAGTTGTAATGGTCCGCTGATGAATTTCTCGAAAAACATCTTGTTTCGCCTACCGAAACTATAGGAGATGGTATATTGACCATTCCATGTTTTCTTTCTGTGGATCTTTCTTCTTACTGATTTATCTTCTTTCCTGGACACTGCTGCATCCAGAAAGGCCAACATGTCTGTATCAATCTCTACAGTGAATTCCAGCGATGAATGTGCTTCGATAAGCGATTTCAATATCTGTGGGATGCCAATTTTGCGATCGGTCACACAGAAGATATCATCCATATATCTACTGTAGTGTACTAATCCTTCAATAGTTGTGCTCAGCATGCTCCTTTCGAGTTTAGCCACAAAGATATTAGCTAGTAACGGACCGAGTGGAGATCCCATGGCAACCCCGTCCATTTGACGATAGACAGTACTGTTAAATAGAAACTGGACGCTACGTGTGCAGTATAATAACAGTTGCTTTAGATTTTTGACCGGAATTTACATTCAGCGTTTCTATTTGATCACAGATGAATTCCACTGTCTCCAGTAAAGGTATATTGGTGAACAGTGAGACAACATCCAAGCAGCTCCAGGTCTTCTATTTTACCTACAATCTCCGAGACAGTTTCCAGACTGTGCGTGGCAAGTCTACGACGGACGGGTTCTAGTAATTCGATCAACCACTGTGCCATCGTGTGATACGATGAATTCATCATTGCCTTAATGGGTCGTATTAGAACTCCTTGTTTGTGGATTTTAGGGAGACCATAAAATCGCGGGATGGTGGAACCACATGGTTTTAGTTTCTTCAGTGCAGCATTGTCTATGTGCCCCTGTAACTTTAACGCCTTCAGTAGATCTTTTCCTAAATCATGCTATTGATGACTTCCGACATCGAATAGTCTCCTACAGAGCACATTTCAAACAAAACAACGAACAGACTGATTTTCAGTTATTCGTATTCATGCTAACATATCGTAGCGAAGATTACTAGAAACTATTTCATCATGAGACGGAAATCGGATACACCAAGATCACATAACTGATTGTTCACTGATCCGATCATCGTTATTACTCGTGATACGGTGTGTGTGGGTCAGGGATACTTCAGCGGTTGCACAAATTGGTTTTGGGCACACAGGGTATGGTTGTGCAGACGAATACCTACCGGCAGTGAAAGAACTTTATCCGGGGGACGCAGAGCCTCGGCTACGTTCACATTGTGATTTATTTCCTCTAGGTGTAAAACCACTTCACTGCTGAATGACGTAATCATTCCGGTGTTCAGCCACGCAGGGTGGTGTTCACGATTCCATTTGGACAACCGCCTGACTGTGCGACCTAGGCACGTTGTGCCACAGAAACGACTGACTATCACTGAAGTGGATACCTGAACAAACATGAATTTGGGAATTTGCTTCTGTTCTAGTATGAGCTTGCTGTCACAGTAGTAACACATGCCTTCCATGCGATGAGTCCAGAGTTCAGAGCCAGGACGGGACGGCGGAACGAGCTTCTGAGTGCTTGATTGACTAGAAGAACTGAGGCTCGTGCTCGAGCTTTAAACAACGAACACAATGCTGAGCATGATTTTATTCCGGAATCATTGTTTCAACATAACTCTTTGATGCATGGAAAATCTGATCGACCACGAAGGACTTATGATGTCAGCTGATGTGTCCCCCTGTACGGCAAAAAGATGTACACAGATTTTTTCTCAACCTATGTTTTGTTCAGTGTTTTCCGAGCACTGAGACAGGTATTGATCAAACGTTCCGGATACCAGTTACGTGCAAAGATCGATCATGTAACAAGGAACGCTGCTTGCAGCGTGTCCCCATTGCAGATCTTGCGCCTGGAAACGAATCGGGTTCCTTTTTACCTTAAGCGGTACAAAGCTTCGGGAATGGACGTATTGATCTTTCCAAGTTGTCTTTCTACGCACCGCTACATTAAACCATCTGATCGAGGAATGATACAGAAATCCAGAAATGGTAGTTTCTTTTTACACTCCATTTCTAAAGTAGAAGTTATGGCAGAACGCGCTTTGTAGTTCCGTTGTGTTCGATGTTGCGTTGATCACAATAAACATCAACTACGTACTGCGTGTATAGCACACAGTATTCAATATCATATTATATTTCACATATATCTGACGCCAGACTGTGTGCCAAACAAATCATAGTACATAACCTTTATAAAGGAAAAAATGTTCCACGATTTGCAGTATTCGATTGATGACCGTAATTGAGTGACTTCAAGTTTCGCCATGATAAATCCGCGAAATGCGATCCCAGCGGAGATCCCACTGCCACAGGATCTTTCGACCGACAGATCTCATCGTAAAACTTGAACGTTATACGTGCAGAAATAAAGCAGTTATTTGTGAACAAGGTGCTAAGGTCCAGCAAGATCATTGCTCGAAAGCAAATACATCTTTGACACTATTTTTTCAACCCAACTCAAACAGTTTGTAGCAAATTGGCCAGCCATTTTGCCAGCGTATGATGTGGCGAGTTGCACATATCCGAAATCGGTCTTAATGGCACTCCATCTTTGTGTACTTCTGGCAATCCATATAAACTCGAATAACAATCCCAGTTGGCTTAATGCCTTTCAAAGTGGACGCATCAATGAATCCCCTCTGTTTTAAATCCGAATAGCAAAATCTTAGAGAGCGCCATTTTTATTTGATCCATCTTATACTTTTCCGTCAACTTGGTGAATTTCGACCGATCACTCATTGTGATATTCACCTTGTCTATTCAGTCCGTTCGAATTAGCAGCACGATCCCCGTTTCCTTATCCGGTTTGGATAGTATAACTTCTTTACTTTTCTCAAAGTCTCGTAGTCGTCTGGTGTGTTCTAAAGTCAAGACTTCATTCATCTTTGGTTCATTGTTCCCAACGTGGTAACTGCTTGGGCAGAAAATTCATGCGGTTGAGCTTGCAAACGGTACGCATAAACTACTTCAGATGATTTGTACTGTAACAAAGAGAAAACCCGTACAAGCCGAGGTGCTGATTACGGTGTGGAAAGTTACAGTGCAACTCACCAGTGATTGGATCGTTCCGCTTGGTTCCCAATCGCACAGTGGCACGTCGCGCGGGTACCGGATCGTTGACAAGTCTCGGATATCCCGGTCGTTTGACTCGAGTGCGATTGATTCGCCATGGAGCCTGATGCCAAGTCGGGGACACGGACCGCATGCCCCGAACATCCGTATCGCCTTCCAGGTCCGTGCCGAGAAAATCGATCAACGGTTGAACGGAACTCGGACGCGCCGGACTTTGTGATGCACCCCGATGACGATCCACAACGGTCGGACGTTTTGTATTCGCGCGTGAGGAGCCGGACGGGGCGGAGTAACCAGCTACATTGCGACGGCTTGTTAGAACAACCTGATCGACAGGATACACGAAACCTTAATTCGGTGTTGGATATAAATGAGTGAAAATGGTGGTCATTTTAAGGAGCGTAACATTCTCAAAGAATTCGCCTCGTTAGGATTGTGTTTTCCTCGATCAATCCGATAGCCAATTTTAAAAGCTGCAACTGCTGGGGTTACATTGCATATATGAACTCAAGTCAGCCATCACTATTCTGTTGTTTAAAACTCGAGGCACACAGGCTCATTAAAATCCACGATCAGAGGAACTGTAGTTCTCTGCATGGCTTTCCAGGTCTGAGATAAGTTATTTCTGTGATTATATGTGAAAAAGGGAACATTGTCTCACGGAATCAGCGGCCGCGGGGTATCGGGGACGATGTCTGAGGACGACGAGGCGCGTTTTCATCTGGCAAGTGATCTATCACAAAAATGTTAGTTTTGTTTTTTATAATGCATCTTGATGTGCATGTATCTGGTCAGCTACCGGATAAGGCTGTGTCATCACTGACCCAAAAGTCGCATGTGACCATTCAGGGGTTAGAGGTGCGACCGGGGGACAAGAGCTAAAGATTGCTGGGAATGTACGATATTACCGAAATTCTATAAGCATTTCTCCCTGAAATTGTGTAGACCCTTCGTAGGCAAAAACTGTCGTCTCTAAGTGAAAAGTAAAATAATCGAGAAAACGTGGTATTTCGGGATACAAAAACTGCAAATCAGTTCAGAGTGACAAGGACAGGTGTGCTTGTGAGGCGGAGGACACTCCAACAGATAATCCTGTCCTAGTGAAGGCAAAAATGAGCAAACTGTCTATCTTGAACAGCACTTTTTTCATGTTTTATCTCTCTTTACAGTATCTTTTTGAATAGTTAATTTTAACTTTGATATGATATAACAATGCTGATAATAACAATACTAACTAGAATGATAGCGACTTTTCACGTGTAAATTCTCAAATTGGCACTGGTTCAATTTGCGGAAAGCACACGCGTTTGTCCGGTCACAAAGTGAGGATTACGAGACGAGCGTGAACCGGTGACTCGCCGCAATCGCCTCGCGGTCAGAAGCGCAAACAAGGTGGATTTTTAGGGACTGAATATGCAACGCATGTGAACAGAAGGCTCGTTCCGGGGACCCATATAGTACATTGGAAATGCGGTGAATTTTGCAGGAACAAAAGATTTCAGCAATTAATATAACATTATGTAAATTAGCAGTGTTCGTACCAACCTTTTTTTGTGCAGCGGATGTTATTGCATCAATAATCCGCGCTTGAATTCGTGCTTTCTCCAGTGAGCACCTGTCCACAAGAATGAAACAAAAGAAAGATGATAGAGCCTTTTACAGAGAAATACACTAGCGTATTTGTGATAGAATGTCGTGTAATGATCAAAGGGACTCCACAATAAGGCAATACACAACATCTGTTGATCGTAAGCTGACATATTCTACAACAAAATGGTGATGCGTTTTACATGCACAGTATGTAACCCCGAGCGAGTTTTTTGGTGATGGTGGTGGTCGCTAGAATGCAACAGCAGTCCGGAAGGTTAGTTTAAGTTCAGCCCCCGCTGCCAGCCGTTCCTCGGCAATGTGCATATCCTCCAGACAACTGTTGGGTGACGGCAGCTTCTTTCCTAAAAATCGGTTGTATTGTAGTAGATTGAAAAAAGGAGCAAAGCATTTAAAAAATCACTCTCCACTGTATGCATTTACTACGCACACAGGTAACAATTTTGATACTCAATTTCCAACTAATTCAGCTTTTCAAGACACCACATTTGATGCATATCTGAATTTAGACTTGATCAATCATCCTCATCTGGTTCATGTAGAATGCCACTCTCTCTCTCTGATCGCGCATTGTTAAAATTTTCCCAATCAATTTCAGTAGAACCAACTCAGAGTATTAGTTTTATAAAAATCAAACTTGAAATGGTCTTAATTATTTCCATGGTATATTGTGTTTCTTAGACAGGATTCAATCTCCCCCCCCCGCCTCTGATCGTCTCATCCTGCAACAATTTTAGCAACCCTGAATATACCCACTTTGTTTTAACCTCCCTTGATGAGAAAAGCAAAAAGCTGTCTGCGTATGTTGCCTAGACTGCAGTGATACTTTCTATACGATTGATTGACAAATATTTCTGAAACAAACCCTTTCTTCAGGTGGCGTCCCATCTCCTACGATTGAAATTCTGGTTAATTAGTTATTCAACCGTCAGCAATTTACACAATTTACAATTTAACAAGGCCGTATATCTTCACTACTGTCCTCTTCAAAAACTCACTACGAGTTAAAGAAAATCCCTATTTCTATTTTCACCCACATTTGTTCTGATCCTGAGAGTGATTCTTTCTTTCTTATAAAGATCTTTTTATTAAACGCGCTTGAGGGATGAACAGCGAATCCCGTAATCACGAAGACCTGCTGTTCAGTGACGGAAATCGGTAATGCAGGCCCTGAGACTTGAAACGGCGAACCACATAAGGCCCCACTGGGTTAGGCGTGGTATTGAACCGGACGACTGCAAATCCGCCCACGACCTAAGTTGGGCGGCGGTGCTCGAAATTCGAACCATACGGTCCAAAGCACACCGGTGATAGGAACTAAACCACTGCGCCACCATGAACCTGCAAATGTTGCAACACTTGATTCGCCCTATTCCGGCCCATCATCATCTCACATTATTCTACAGGGTGGTGTGACGGGAATTATGGTAGGATCTTGTGATATCATATTCGCCCTTTGAAAAGTTGGCAATTACGATGAATTATTTATCTTAAAAGACTAAATAGATGGACAACCAATCAACACCTGACAGACAGTGTGGCGTTATCATTAACCATAACCTCATCTGGACTAACCACGTCACAAACGCGTCCCTGCAAGTGGGAAGGCCTGCGTTCTATGTTCTGTGTCCCAGATGCAGTATCGTAATTGACAGATTCACACCCAAGCGTTTGATGGGGGTTCGTACAGGACAATATAAAGAATGCAGTAAAGCGACGGTATTTCGCAGTCAGCGGTTGCAACTTCGCTTGTCTGAGTTCAGTTTCCCATCCGGAACTATCTGCCTCAAACGGCTTGTATCAATTGTAAATTATTCATTTAAATGGACTTATAGATAGCCCCTTCCATATCTATTCTCCCAAAACCTAGTATCGTTAGGTGTGCCAGGTCTTGTACCCTAGATTATAAACAGTGTTCCTCAATCATCTGAACTTTTGGATTCATCGTTCTTTTGCTGGACAACAGGTGATACTATTAGATGAAGACTCGATGAGTCCGATTGAGGGCTGCAATGCATGGCTCATCTCAAAGGATAAAAAGCCCATTAATAGTGCTGAACAGAACTCAAAACTGAGTTCTTTTGTCGCGGTTAGGAGAGAGAGAGAGAGTGGCTTACCCATTTTCCCCCAAACGTTGGAGCACTTCGAATACAGATTGGCTGTATTGTGTGCGACCGATTGCCTCCAGATTATTGTCCAAGTGTATGCGCCTTCGTCGGACATTTTCCAAAGTAGAGGCGGCCTTGGATACGACTGATGATATCTTGGAATAAAGTTTGGTATCTGATGCGGCTGGATCACCAGCAACATTTGACAGCTTAGACTCCGATTCCATCAGTTTCTATAAAAACAGATAGATTATAGATACAGTAATGATCTTTTTACTACTGGTTATTGACTGCAAGCGTACACTGAAAAAGGCAAAAACAGATGATCTACCGGTATTTTCGATGTCGACCCTAACTATCAAACACAAACGAACCCTCGGAATCGAACATCGATCGTGTAATGACTGAATCCATAAAAATACTGCCCAGACAGGCGCCTGATTATGTACATCTCCTAGAATGGCCCAACCCAACAAAGTAGATCTGGTGGAATACGAAGGGGGGGGGGAGTAGCATTTAAATCATAAAATCAAGGATCCACGTTACTAATCTTTTTTCAAACCTTCAACTTTAGTACTCGACCGTTACGTCACATAGTCAGGCGTCCTCTTCCAGCGGTCATTTGTTTATGCACACGGGAATCCCCGATGAAACCGATCGCATTGTTAATGTGTGCTCTTGATGACTGGTGGATTGTTATGAATGAGACTAACTTCAATAAAGTTACTGTACACTTTTAATGCATGGAATACACAAGGCATACAATTCGAATAAATCGCGTGTGCTATTCCACTCTGAGTTGTTCTACTTTGGAGATCGATATTGTCCGAGTTTCGGAACTACATTTCTCTTTAATTTTTAATTTAATTTAATTTTACTTCTTTTTATGGAATATACAATGATACAATTTTCAGGAAGAGGGAAGCGGTCAATCAAAAGGTTGACATAGAAGAAGTCAGGTGGTGGTGGTGGGGTTCGAACACACGTCCCCCGAGGTGGTAATTTGGTGACGTTACCACCGGGCCACCATCAAATTCTATTCACAGTACTACACGAATTCCTGGTCAATTGTTTCTCTAAACATCATCAGATCGTACATACTATACTATAATTAAACCAAACTATCCATTCCCACCATTCTACCGGCCTGTTCCCTCTTCGCTTATCTCAGATGGTCAGATATGAATGAATAGACAATTTTGTTAAATGTCTCAGTGTAATCTTTAAGGATAAAGACATTTGAGTTGATTATGTCACAAACGAGTCCCTGCAAACCAGAAGATCCACGTTTCCACGTTTTGTGCACTGGATCTATTTTTATTCCTATTCATCTCCTGGGGCGTTTAGATTTTGCTTGTATTTTTCTCCACTGGCTTTATAAATTCGGTCTACTTAACAAGGATCACAAACTCATCTCCAGATTTCTCAGGTTTCAATCAATATTATTACCCTGGACCATCTGATACAGTATATTGTTGTACATCACTCAAAACCTGAAAAGGATAATATCACAAACATAAAAAGCACGCAGAGGCTTACAGACGTTCCGTTGTTCCATATATGCGCAAAATCTTAGGTAACCAGGTCATAAGTGATATGGCACGCCTTGATTTTCTGTTACTATTGTCGATTTGTTTGTACTTTTGCGTGCTACATCTTTCATTGCTTGAAAATCTGAATCTTTGGAGCTCCGACCGGGAAACCGCAACAGAAGCCAGATCCGACCATAATCTCTTTAACCATTTACGCCACGTCAAAGCCTGCCCACCTCACTGTTTCTTCAAGCCCGGACCGATGTCTGCGAATAATGCATGATGTGGCAGACGTTGCTCAGCCTTCGTAGGACGTGTCCCAGCCGCCTAAGAGGATACAGTGAGATTGTTTTGCTACATGGAAGGCTATGCATCCAACAGCCTCAGTTTGGTCGGGAGTAGGTGTCTAGGCGGCTGGTCACCCTGCCCTTGCACCTCGCGAAACGCTCGCATACGACGAAGCGTCTCGAATAGCCTCTGCTGAGGAAGCTCTACTCACCGCCTTCTCGTGGCGGAGGTGTTTGCCCACGAAAGTGAGAGGACTGTAACCGGGTTGGTGGACCACTGGTAATTCACCTAAGGGAATTGGCCAAAAACCCTGATTCCAAACCAACTATGAAGAGACGTACGAACCACACTATTTTTACAACGATCAACCATGAACTTTCATGCGCCGCTTTTGGTTGTTGTCTTTTGGTCGCCCATTTTGATAAAAGAACAGAATAAAAATTGGAATGTCGACGGCAAATTCAAGCGGAAGATAGAGAATTCATATGTGCTGGTGTTGCAAGAATAATGAGTACATGCATGAGCATCACTGTTTTCGAGACCCCGCCATATCGCTGTCTCTAACCATCGGTGATCATGATCTCAGGGTCTCCAACCAGGGAGTCTAACGGTACCGATGTGATCCAGTTTCTTGACTAGGGTTTTCATGCAAGTAAACATGAATTGGGAATTCGGTTCAACCCTGGCATGAGCTGATTGGCAGAGTGGAAACACACAAACCTTGTCCGGAATTCACAACCCGGACGGGACGTTGGATATGACATATTCCATACGAACAGGTAGATGAGTACAGACAGAAAGGGACAGGTAATTTATCTGAATATGACAGAACAACTAAAAGTAGAAACAATATTTTTCTACCGTTTTTTAACTTCTGGTTTCGTATTGGGGTAGGACTGGGGGTTATGTAGCTGGTCGGACAATTCGACCGCTTCTCTTGTCCTGATAAAAATAGCTTTATGCATTCAACGAATCGCGCGATACCACGAAGAATCCCCCAAAACTCTTCATCCCAATGCCAAACGTTTTGAGCCTCATGCACAGAAATGTGTTTGGTTTTACCCCACACCACATAACATTCATATGATAGTATTCACCTATAAAATAATCGCACGTCGAATTCGATGACAGTTGGCCGCGCTTCAGTATTGATTATTTATTAGAAAGAATGTACTTCCATGCTGCTCTGCACCAAATATTTTCCACTTTTGAGCTATACTTTCCGAACTACTAGAAATTTTGTCATGGCACTCAAGGTTGCGCCAATTCAATTGATGATGCAAGAGAACTGAGAACGCTGTCGTTAGAGATAAAGTTAGGAATAAATGGTCATTAATATGCAAGTATGACATTGGAAACTGAAGTATTGTTTAAAAGAGAGCAGTGAAAGATTTGATTTTATCATATTGGTGAATTTCGTCCGTGAATAACGCAAATGAAGAGTGAAATGAAGGACCAGGAAGCACTGGATAGCTGTTTCGACCTGATTGGGTCTCATCAGTAATGAGAATCCATCTACCCCACCGGCTTCGAACTCTGGACCACGCAGGTAGAACGCAAGTCTACTATCCGTTTGACAACCAGTCAACTGATCAGACCATTTTTCATTTTCCTTATACGTAGTATAGCACAAACCGTGTTTGCGTGCTTAAGGCACAATAAATTTCGCAATAAATTAAGGAATGCTGCGTCGGACTATATTGCGGACAACTTCAGGTGATTTTTGTTTAATCACATTATCTTCTTCAATTCATCTAGGATTGGTCTGCAACATGGTGGATAAAAAGGGTCTGGTATGTAGAACACAATCTAAACGGATTGACTACGAAACCACGATAAAAAACAACCACCGGGGTGGACACTGTCGTACACTGTTTCATGTTTCCGATCGGTCAAATATTCAATTAACTGAGTAGCTGGTAGAGCTAAGATTCCATATCAGCTTATCTTATTCTATTTGGGAGAGATTACTTACTGATTCTACCTTATCGGGAATCTTGCGGTCCTGTTCCTCCCGCACATCCTGTGATTTTCTGTTGGATAAAGAAAAAAAACAGACGAGTCAGCTTAAAAAACAACGAGCTAGCATCACGAAGAAAATCCGATCCGATCCAACGCTTCGCTTGAATGCAGGCCATTTACAAAATGAACAAATGCTGGCCATTGAAACATTTCCAGTGTACACACAAATCCAGAAACTCATTGAACAAAAGAATAAATATAAAAGAAACAACTCACTAAGACACCAAGTTTCGGGAGTGCTAAACCCGTGCACGATTGTCCTGGGAAATCAGCCGTGATGGTTAGAAATCGGTCGGTTATATTTCACTGTCGCTACACCACTTCATCTAACCACTTGAGCTAGTGATGAGCTATCCGATACCCACAGTCCAAATTATCATTGCTGTTATATCGTTTTAATCATTCCAATAACAGAATGCCTTTTACAACGGTACCCCTCTCCCCGATTACTTCAAAACCGATACGCGTTAGTGCCACGGTAGCGGAAAGAAAACAAAACCACCTATGCACAGGGTTTATAGCATTATATTTAAACTGAGACGGTGATGGCACTCTGATTGGTGAGAGGAAACCGCTCGCCTAATTTGCGTAAGGCAATCGGTCAGTCACTGATCGTGCAATTTTCCGTCCCTGGTGTGTTCAGGCCCCCGTATCAGTTCCTGACATGTTTCAATCTGACATCAGTTGTCAGTACAACCATTTGAAAGAACACTGATTGACCAGCTTGTTTGTCATTTTGACAAATGACAAACAAGCTGGTTAATCAGTGTTCTTTCAAATGGTTGTTTGGCAGATTGAAGGATTATGTTGAAATTGTGAAAAGTTTAGTAGCCTCGGTGGGAATCGAACCCACGAATGAACACCGCCTCACTACTGTACAGCGCACATTCTATCAGCTGAGCTACGATGTCAGGCCGATAGCATTGATCTTTTCACATTCGAATCACCCATCCAACTTACAGAGGTATATGGCATCCATCGAGGCTACTGAACTTTCATAATTTCAACATAACATTTCAATCTGCAAAACAACCATTTGAACAATTTAACCAGCTCTAGATGTTCATTCGGTGGACTCCGGTGAATTCTAAGGAAAACCTGTCGTGGCAGTCGGCTTACATGTTACCTGGTGCATGCCCCTATTGCCTCTGTAAGTTGGATGGGTAATTCGAATATGAAAGATCAGCGCTATTGGTGTGCCCTCGAAGCTCAGCTCGTATAGCGTGCGTGTGCAAAGCGTAGGTGGCGTCTATGCGTGGGTTCGAATCCCACCGAGGCTACTGAACTTTTCATTTTCAACATATCACTGTTTATGATTGGTAATCAATGCATCTATTTCCAAACAAATAAAAAGACTGGTATTAATTAGTGTAAAGCTCAGCTCA